TTGATGCTTTTGGAAGAAATACTTGATGAAAATTTCCGTATCTTTTAAATTAAGAACGTCTCTTGGAAGTTGCCAAGCCAAGAGCCTACCAACGGGCAAAAAATCGGGCTTTATCCCACCACTCCGCCGCGCCACAGCCTACCAACTTTATTCAGACGGCCACAATGTGAAGGCCCCAAGTTTTGACGCGTTCTTAAGTTTCTATAGCCGAAGACATGCTCTGTATAACTCAGCGGCCGGCGCAGGTGCCGTAATAACTTTTGAATTACATTTCATTCTACTGGAAGGGGAATAAACTCGGGAACACCGCTAGCATAGTGTTGGGGTAGTTTTAGAACAGATAGCCATCAAAACATGTTTTCAGCGACGACGGCTAGCCATTAAAATCGCACTTTTCTCTTTTGTTGTAACGCAACTTGACGAATTCGAGCTCCAGTCGCGTCCTCGGGCTCCAGCGGGCTCCAGTCTTGTCATCTGGCTCCTCTGAGCCCCAGGGGGCTCAAGTCGCGTTCTCTGAGCTCCATTGGGCTCTGATCGCGTCCTCTGAGCTCCAGTGGGTTCCAGTCGCGTTCTCTGGGCCCTAGTGGGCTCTGATCGCGTCTCTGAGCCCTAGAGGGCTCCATTCGCGTTTTCTAGGGCCCAGTGGGCTCCAGTCGCGTTCTCTGGGACCCAGTGAGCTCCAGACTCCCTGTTTATGGCCATCAGCCCCATCCCCTTAGCGGCGCTGTTCTCCAGTCGGGTCCGCCGAGCGCCTGCGCTCTCCGGTCGGCCCCGGTGGCCCCGGCCGCTTCGGCGGCGGCCGTGGCCTGCCGCCACGTCCCCCTCGGCCGCTGTCAGACGTCTGTCGGCGGCAGCCGCAGCCCGGCCGCCAGCTTGGCACGGCCGGCTGCCGCGCGCTCCTGACATTCCCGCGCTGGGGGACGGCAGCTGTCCCGCCCATCCTCCCCCCCCCCCCCTCCCCCCATCTGGCCCGGTCGTTCCACCCACCGAAATACCTCGGCAGCCGCCTGTCCCCCACTCTGCCGAGTGACTCGGTGGTGTCGGGCGCGCGCCTGCGTCCCCCCCCCCCCCGCCTGCCCCTCCCCGCGGCTGTTCCGCCTGCACGACAGACACGCGCCCATGGCAGACGTCTCGGCTTCGGCTGTGGGCCAGATGGACGGCTCCTTCGATTCGTCGCAAGTTGAAGCTCGGAACCATCGATCGCTGGAATGATGTTGCTTAATGCAGCGTGGGCGTCGCGGTGGCGATGCGGGATGTTTATGCATGCTATATCTGTCTTGCGGGTCAAGTGATCTAGCGTACTGATGGGGCTTCGGTTGAGAATTGATCGCGCGAGTGGAATGTTTTGCCTTTCATTTACCGCTCCTCCAGTATTTACCTATCCTCCAGTATGCTGTGAGGAGGCGCTCATTAACAACGCCAGCATTTCACCAAGCAGTGCAAACAGCTCAGCAGGAACTGGGGTGTAGGTCCTGAAGCTGGCACTTATTTTCTGACCTACGAAAATTTCCCTGGGAGGCTATTCTGGTCTGTAAGAACTTCCATTACACGTGACTTTGTGCAGGTCGTATTGCGTGGGCCGATCAATAAGGAAGTTACAATGTGTCATAACATCTTCATTTTTAAGCAAACACGTTCAAGCTCCTGCATGTTTTCGTTTTGTCATCCCTGCCCACACGCTACTTCTTCACATGATCGCCATCCACCCGGGCACGCTACATCCAGCGCTCGGACCAACGCCGAAATTACGCCCGGAAAAAGTCGGCTGTGGTCTCCGTCGCCTGCTCATACACAGTTCATTTCACCTCGGGTCAGTTAGGAAGCGGTGACCACGAAGGTAGTCATTTAGGGGCCGAAGAGGTGTAAGCGTAATGGCGCGGGTGCAGGCTGTGTGGTGACACGGGGGGGGGGGGGGGGGGATGGCTCAGCCCAGCCCGGCAGGTGGCGCGGTCCGTCTGGGGTCGGGCGTCTTCCTGGCGGACGGGGCCTGGAGGCGCCTGACCTAGGTCTCTCCTTGAATGGCTTTTGAGCTCCGGCACTCTCGGCACCCTTACTTAACTTGCAATGTTGTTGGCCTCTGTGTTCGAGGAAATGCACCAAGAACACGTTACCTTGGTCTCAGTACATGGCGACAGTGATCTCTCCCTAAGAAGAATCAGCTTTGGGTGCTTGAGAGCCAGCGTGTCTTCGTTTCACAGATTGGCGCATTGTCTCCGATTTATAGGAATTCACCCACGACACATCCCCCGTGATAATGCTCTAGAGAAGTATTCTTCAACATGCTGACAAGCGTTAGGAAGATAAGCGCTGGAAACACGGCGGATGTCCTTTGTTCTTGTCGCGTGTTTGTGCGATTTTGAGGGCCATTTTGCACACAGCTTGGGATAATTCAGTCTGGCTGATGATCTTTATGATGGCATCAGTTGAACAATCAGCTTTTTCAGTCAGGCCACGCACTCAAATCCTACCGCTTTGCCGTATCAACCCTCTCACTTTGTCAATTTGGTATAGGTTGATGCTCCCAGAGGCCTGCCAGATCTTGGCTTGTGGCTAATACTGCGTTCACAATTTTTGGATAGGAAAACCCATTGCCTCATATTTTCAACGGACATGATTTCTTCCTAGCACACGTAAAGCACGGCACCAATTTTTGGCGTGACGCTTCTCCAAGGTTTGAAAAAAGCGTTACAACTTGCTGTCTCAGTGTTTTGTCCATAGTCCTTGCGTTGAGAAGAAGCTTGAAAGGCTCCGACCCCGGGTCATACTTTAAGGGCCTGTGGCTGAGGCCCATGGCTTGTGGCTGAGGTCCATGGCTTGTTAAAATGCAGATATGCAATCTGTAGACGATTCTTCTTCGGGAGTGTTCGTAGCTTTTGTCATGCCACTGCCACCAGTATTTCCCGAGTCACAGACCATTGCATCTTACTCGATGGTATAATGAAATACGCGGAAGCTGCGGTGGGGCTTTACATGGTAACTTAACCCAGTATAGGGCGTCTCAAAGTGGAATGGTGAAACTGTAGCTAAGCTTGAGTGATCCTCGGCGTTGATGTCATCATCCAGAGGCACAGGGATCGATTTCCCGCGGTGCCCCGCCCTTACCGCCAGTGAGACAGGCGACGCTATATAGCCTCAGTTGCTGAGTGCATCGTAAAACCCCAATGACAGTGGCTGTCCTACAGCCGGAAGTAGACAATGGCCAAGCCCTTGATTACCAGCGTGATGAATATTAGTGCGGCCCGGTTATTATTGCTCCAGAGCCGATTACAGCAACTAAAATGACGCCTTAGCCACGATAGCTCAGCCGATTGGTGTGCCCGCTTTCTGGCTAATTCACCCGTGGCGTAGTGGGTTGGGATCGCTTTATGCGCTCGCTGTTTCACCGTGGCCGGGATTGGTTGCGGTCGGTGGCAGCGGCCGCGCTGAAGGTCAGGTCAAGTCAGGGGGAGAACGCACTGTGTCTAGCATTACGGCACGTAAAGCTCTCGCCGCATATGTGCCGTCGGGATTAAATTTTACAATCGGACGGTGAGGCAAATGCTTATGCAATGAACACTGCTCAGCGTGGACGTTGGGCCCAGAAATCCATCCAAGCTAAAGGTTCGGAGCAAATCTTAGGAAGAAAATCAGCTTTCATATGCCTGTTGATTTATATTCAATCTCCAGCGTCAAAATTATTTTGTGTCATGCCGTGTTGGCTTTGCCGAAACATGACGGTCCACAGTACGTGTTCGCTTCCAACATTGTTCTGTAGGCAAGAACCCTGCTGGTGTTCAGTGCTGGTGTGGCGTTGAACATGAACAAACGTTCTACGCATATCTGAAATACATCAGCGACACTGTTTCACTGTTGGTGCATGTAGCGTATTTGTTGGGTGTTTTTTATGTTTTTCCGAGCGTGCCTCTAAAAATTTGCATAGTTTATATCAACTGTTCTGCCACTGCGAAGGCGACGTTAAATTTGTGCCCACAGATATCTAGAAATCTAAAACGTATCTAACCAACTCAGCGACAAGGGCAAGGCAAGGCATTTACGGTAACCGATGTAGTCCACCCAGGTTATCTATACCGCCTTGCCCTGACCAGCAATCGTCTTTTTAGCTCGTGAAATAATTATGGTAAACGTGCCGGGTTTATATCATGTTTTGCCTCCAGTTACTACCGTAAGCAAAACGCAATGGTTTTTTGAAAAACGCCATCTATGTTAAAGAAGTGCGTAATTATCTACTTTTTCATAAAAACCAACAAAGGAAACACCAGTAGACATTCAGATTTATGTGTTTCATTCCTAAATGCAAGCGTTGCTCAGTTACGCATCTTGGAAAAGTTGAACAATTATTTTCAGCGGCAAACGTTTTCGACGCAGAAGGCATTCGTGTATCAATGAAATGACAGCAACCGTTTTCGAGGAAGGTACTAAAAACCCGTGTGTCTTACGAGCACTACAGACAGTTAGTTGTAGTTCGAATCTGCAATCAATGGAAGACATATTTTCCCGGTCATCTGTGGGTTATTGGCTGTTGTCGCTCAGTGGTTAGTGCACACATCTGGCCTTCCTCGTGATCTGTGCTGTCTGCAGTGATAACTTCCTCCGCGTCTTGTATCAGGTATAACTGACCTGACATGATTTTGTTAGCTCATCGCAAGCATATTCAGAGGTTGATATTTTGAGTCCACCTTGGTTTTAGAGTTGTAACTTGACCGGCCTCTGTCCTCTAACAACGATATTGCCCCCACGGTCGTTCGGTATTTTCCTGCTCACCTTGTGTGCGCTTTCCTTGCAACGCCATTTCTGCTCTGTGTTCGTTCAACAGTCTTCCCCTCCCCCGATGTCTCTGTGTCTGTTCAACACCCTTTCCCCTCTCCCTTCGTCTCTGTGTCTGTTCGACACCCCTTCTCCCTCCCCCGGTGCCTCTGTGTCCGTTCAACACCCCTTCCCCCCGCCCGGTCACTATTCTCTCTGCGGCGCCAGCAGCTGACACGGCGCGTGTCCACAGTGCGATGCGGGTGCTGCTCTCGAAGCTGTCGCGGCCGTGGCTGGTGGACGAGAAGAAGGACGACGGCTACACGGCACTCCATCTGGCCGCGCTCAACAGTCACGTGGAGGTGGCCGAGCTGCTCGTGCTGCAGGTCAGTGACCAGCCCCTCTGTCCCTCACTCTCCACCGGCTCGGTCTGTTCTTTCCATGTGGTCAACCGTTTTTGCGATAGAGCGTCTGGAGACAGCCTTACAGCCCTTGTGTGGCGTTCAGACGCCACCAGTTGAGTTTGAGCCGAAGAGGAGTTTGAAATTGAACCATCAGCTGCTACTTGCCACTCTGGTGTGGTAAAGCGTGGGGTAACCCTGAAGTAGAGGGGTAGATTAACTCCACATGGATCCAGGGTGGATTGACAGTCAAATTGTCCATGTATACAGTGCTTTGGTCTTGGTGACACTCATTGGGCGTCGGGACAGGTTCCCAGTCCGGCGCTGTGTACTGGTCGCAGTGCTCGCTCTCCGCGCCAGCCCCTCAGCCGGCGTTGCCTGGACCGCTGTGACGACGCCACACAAGGAGTGGAGGTGCCGTCCCGGCCGCCGAGCGTGTTATGGGGAGGCACCGCTGCCTGACCGGTCACACATGATCCGCTCCGTTCTCAGGGCAAGGCCAACATGGACCTGCAGAACGTGAACCTTCAGACGGCCCTGCACCTGGCCGTGGAGAGGCAGCACGTCCAAATCGTCCGGGTACGGCCGCGTGGTCTTGACACGCGCTCCGTCTGCCAGTGCGCAGCTCTGCTGCTCCCTGGTCCTGTCCTTTCACACGTATGCCCGGCACGTACAAATCGTCCGGGTACGGCCACCTGGTCCTGACACACGCTCAGTCTGCTCGTGCGCAGCTCTGCTTGTCCCTGGTCCTGTCCCTCCACATGTGTGCCGGTCGGGTTATTGACTGTGTGCCGTTCCTGCCACTGTTCGTGTCCGTGATGCTGCCCTGAGTCCGTGCTTACCTCCGTCCGTGTTAGGTCCGTCCGGCCGTCAGTCTGTGCTTACCTCCGTCCGTGTTAGGTCCCTCCGGCCGTCAGTCTGTGCTTGCCTCCGTCCGTGTTAGGTCCCTCCGGCCGTCAGTCCGTGCTTACCTCCGTCCGTGTTAGGTCCCTCCGACCCTGAGTCCGTGCTTGCCTCCGTCCGTGTTAGGTCCCTCCGGCCGTCAGCCCGTGCTTGCCTCCGTCCCTGTTAGGTCCCTCCGGCCGTCAGTCCGTGCTTACCTCCGTCCGTGTTAGGTCCCTCCGGCCGTCAGTCCGTGCTTACCTCCGTCCGTGTTAGGTCCCTCTGGCCGTCAGCCCGTGCTTACCTCCGTCCGTGTTAGGTCCCTCCGGCCGTCAGTCCGTGCTTACCTCCGTCCGTGTTAGGTCCCTCCGGCCGTCAGCCCGTGCTTACCTCCGTCCGTGTTAGGTCCCTCTGGCCGTCAGTCTGTGCTTACCTCCGTCCGTGTTAGGCCCTTCGGCCGTCAGTCCATGCTTACCTCCGTCCGTGTCAGGTCCCTTCGGCCGTCAGTCCATGCTCCGTGTTAGGTCCCTCCGGCCGTCAGTCCGCCGGCCGTCGGATCGCTGACCAAACCAAGCATCTGACCATTGCCGCGTGTTGTTTATATATTCGCCGATCCAGCCGAGTGCTTTTGGGCCTTCAACACTGCGTTTTGGCTGGCCAGCTGTGGTCCGCTGCAGTGTCTGTTTGTCGTGACCGCCCTGTCACCGTGGCCGGCGGTGTCGTCAGCTGCTGGTGAGCAAGGGATGTAACCTGAACGTGCAAGACAAGGATGGCGACACGCCGCTGCACGAGGCGCTGCGGCACCACACGCTGTCGCAGCTGCGCCAGCTGCAGGACATGCCGGACGTCAGCGTCAGCAAGGTGCGGCCAGCGGGGGTGCTGCGTTTTGAGGTTCGGTTGGGGTTCAGGAGCATTGCACTGAGAGTTTCGGGATCATTGAATGGTTAGACTCAGCTGTTATCGTTCGTTGGTAATGGCTTCAACTCACAACCGCAACCAATTTACAAAAAAAAACAGCTTATAGGACAATCATTGTGGTCATATCAAGATGTGCTGCGTGACAGGCAGATTCTTTTGACCAGTTTGAACACCAAAAATATCCATGCTATTCAGCTTGACTTCGAGAACAAGTGTCCCAAGACCTCCAGACCTAAGAGAACGAAACTCTGACCTTCGTGGCACAGGTCAGGGCACTGCACTCTCCTTTCACATCACAGTTGCTGTGCTGTCTCCACTGGTCTACAGCACACCACCCGACGCCTCTAGCGCCGCCTAGCGTCGGGCTGTGAACTCACGAGCGCGCGCCGCGTTGGAGGCGCCACCGGCGGGGGCAGTTGCGGGATAGCAGCCACCCTGCCGCCGTCAACCACGCGCACAGTCCGTGACCACCAACGTTGTTTGTAATACTTGTTGAGTGTAATGCTTGTTTGGTGTGTAATGGCTGCCAGTTGATCAACGCCGAGAGCTGCCCCGTATCGGGTGCTAGCAGTACGCATCTTCGTCTGGGCTGCTTCCTCACCCGACCTTTTCGTCGGCAGTTGGTAATGGGCCTGGGCAGCCAGGGCTCCGAAAAGAAGTCCTCCGCGTCCATCGCTTGCTTCCTGGCGGCCAACGGGGCTGACTTGACCATCAAGAACAAGAAGGGTCAGACGCCCCTGGACCTGTGTCCTGACCCCAACCTCAGCAAGGCGCTGGCCAAGTGTTACCGCGAGAAGTCCGTGTGAGTAATCCTGCTGTCCATGAACTGTTACAAAGCGCGGCATGGCAGTTCGTTTCTCGTTTCTCGGTGTGAAGTCTTGGTGTTCTTTTCCCGGGTGATTACATCACAGGTTTTTGACACTCCCTCCCCCCTTCCAGCGAGGCCACGGAGCGGGTGATGACTTCGAGCCGCGGCGGCGCGGCGGGCGGCGGCGACGCGGCCGGTCCAGACGTGGCCGAGGAATGCATGGTGTGCTCCGACAACAAGCGCGACGTCCTCTTCCAACCTTGCGCACATGTCTGCACGTGCGCCAGCTGCGCCGACCGCGTCAAGAAGTGCCTCATCTGCCGGCGGGAGGTGCTCAGCCACGTGGAGGTGGGTGCGCTGGCACCGGCGACGTGGCCGTGGCTGGTGTGCGGCTGCTGGTGGAGACCGAACGGCCGTGTTGGGGCGATGTCGATGTGTGGAGTGGCGGCGGTGTTTTGTGCTGTCTTGGGTGTAGGTGAGGTGCACGCTGGAGGAAGTGCTGGTGGGTTGTGGACCGTGCCCACTTGGTTGTTCCGGGACTATGCAAGGGAGATCTCTGCGTGATGGCGTAGTCCGGGCGGGCTTTTAGAGTCATGCCCCCCCCCCCCCCCCCCCCCACAGGCAATGGGCCCCGAAAGCCCCCGTTCGTTTGGAAAGATTAAGATGCCCGTAGAACGTTTCTAAAACGTCGGAGTCGAGACTCCAGGTACTCAGACGGGATCCAAAGCCTAGAATTGTCCCCCCAATCCAACATCAGGGCCTCTAGAGTGACCAAGAAGGGCCCCTTGGCTGAAAACGTCCCCGATGCCCTGGTTGGGTCCCCTCCTGGGCGAATTCCTGGCTACGCGACTGAAGGCATATGTCGGGCCTCTCTCCTCGCTGACTGCTGCCCGACCTTTACTAATATCCGTCTGGTCTCAGCTGACCTCTGAGCTCGGCTGAAATTTAGCTGGCTTCGTATGTGCGCGCCACCAAACACCAGCGGACCACCGACCTCGGCCTGCGACCTCTGACCCCTCTGACCTCCGTGTGTCCGGCGGCAGCTGGAGGACTGCATCATCTGCTCGGACAAGCGGGCGTCGGTGCTGTTCCGGCCGTGCGGCCACATGGTGGCCTGCCACTCGTGCGCCAGCCTGATGAAGAAGTGCGTGCAGTGCCGGGCGCCGGTGGAGGCGCGCCTCCCGCTCGCCGTCTGCTGCGGACTCGAAGGTGGGCGCCGCCCCCGGGCAGAGCGGCTGTCACTGGGGAAGGGCGTGATGCACGTCACGGCTGAGACAGGTGGCTGCTGGTCATGATACCGAGGCCTAGGATTTTGCGTGTGGAGACTCTGTTAGAGCATTGTGTTTCCACTAGCCTTCCGCGCTGTGTGATCTCACAGTGTCGCTCTCAGTGTATGGTATACAGAATAACGACGATTGCGGATGCTTGGTCATATCCGTTTGATGTATCCACTGAGGGAAGGCCTCTTGGAACTCGGAAGACAATAATGCTTTTACCGCTCGTTAGACTGAGGAGGTCTGCTGTTCTGTGCTCGAGTGTTGGCGGTGACCGGACCGCTGTGAGGCTCCCCGGCCAAATGAGAACCGCTGCCTCTTCCATTTCGAGATCGTGTCGCCCATTGGCATGTGTGAATTTCAGTTGTAAAGGTAGTAAGGTGAAATTGCGCTCCGGGTAGGCTTTCGCCAGTGACGATGGGGAGAGGGGAAGGTGAGAGTGCGGAGCGTTTTCGTCGCTCGCCGGGGTTGATCGGTGGACACATTCTTGTTTTCCTACAATTATTGTTTTTTCATTCGAGAGTATTGGTTGACCCGACGACACGGGAGTGTCCGAGTCTCTCGATACTTATGACTTGCATTTTGCGCACCAGCCATAGTTACCATAGCTGCCAGTCCCTGAAGGTTACGTTGGTTGCGGCTGTTGTGTGTTGCGGCCGTGCCTGACCGTGCGTGCTTGTGCCGCCGCCGGTCAGCAGCGCCTCAGTCCGTCCCTGCCCCCGCCCCCAGCCCCCGACAGCGGCGGCGACCTGAGCGACTCGGACCTGGGCGCCACCGGCGGCGCTCCCAGCAACAACACGGCGGCGGCGGCGGCGGCAGCAGCGGCGGCGGCTGCCGCGGCCGCAGCAGCAGCGGCCGCCGCCGCTGGGCCCACCCGCATGGCCACCTCCAGCACGGGCGCACAGCGGCCCATGAACAACCACTCGGACGTGCAGAAGCTGCAGCAGCAGCTGCAGGACATCAAGGAGCAGGTGCGGAGGAGGCGGACGGCCGGGACTGATATTGGAATCTTGGAAAACTTGCGTCGATTGGTCGTATGCATGACTTTCTTTCCCGAGTTGTTTGGTTTAGCAAATGGATAGTGTATGTGTGTGTGTGTGTGTGTGTTGAGACCATGACCATATCCGTAGACGATGTGGTGTGATGTGGCCTGACAGCTCTGACCTCTCCGTCCGTAGACCATGTGTCGTGATGGCCTGGTCTGTCAGCTCTGACCTCTCCGTCCACAGACCATGTGTCGTGATGGCCTGGTCTGCCAGATCTGACCTCTCCGTCCACAGACCATGTGTTGTGATGGCCTGGTCTGCCAGCTCTGACCTCTTCGTCCACAGACCATGTGTCGTGATGGCCTTGTCTGCCAGCTCTGACCTCCTCTCCGTCCACAGACCATGTGCCCGGTGTGCCTGGATCGGCTGAAGAACATGATATTCCTCTGTGGCCACGGCACGTGCCAGATGTGTGGCGACCGCATGCAGGAGTGCCCCATCTGCCGCAAACCCGTGGAGAAGAGAATCCTGCTCTACTGCTAGGCCACAGCGCATAGAAACCCGTGGAGAGACCAATTCTGCTCGACCGCTAGGCCACAGCGTATGGAAACCGGTGAAGCGAATTCCACCGTGCCGTTAGACCACAACGCTCTACTGGGGGTGGAGCGTGAAGTCCTGGTCTACTGCCAGGCCGTAGCTCAGCGCAGCGGGTGGAGGAGCGGATCCTGGTATGCGGCTTGGCCAGAGGATGCCGCAACCCGTGGAAAAGCGGATCGTGGTCTTTCGTTTGGCAGCAGTGCGCCTCAGTCCGTGGGAGGAGACGATCGACTGAACCGGTGTGACCACATTGCGTCCGGAATCGATCTGTGCTGTGCGGTATCAGCTGGCGTGCAGAGTGGTCCGGTTTTCTGTCATTTTGTATACCATACCCAGCTTTGTGGTGTTGGAGCGGACGTGTTTGTGGCCCGCGCGTCCCCACCCTGTGGCTCACCGCCTGACATCGGAGGGCAAGGGGGGGATTAGCTCCCCCCTTCCTCCTCCCCCGGAAACGACATCGGCTGAACATTGGCGGCTATTTGCTGCCGGTTGGCTGCCGCAGTGTTGAGGCGCGCACATTCATATTTCATTAGAGACATTGCCGGTGCGTTAGCCGAGCCAGGTTGTAGAGAACCAGACACCGTGGCTACAGTATTTCTTCCATTGCCGGATGTCCTTTTGAAGACACAGTACGACACGATATTTACAAGATTTCGCATTATGAGCATGCTGCCGTAGTAAAGACAGGCATTAGCATGCTATACCATTGGTGGGTTCATCTGACTGAACCGGTAGAAAGAAAACGGTCTGTGCTGACACTTTTTGCCGTGGCGATGCGCGTCCATGTTCTGTGCCAGTTGTCCATTCGGTTCGGGATGTGTTCCCACCTATGTAATTTGCACGCTCTTTAGATGACGTATTTCTCGCGGACTCCCGAACGCTTCCAAATGCGGGTGGGGAGTGAGCTCGAACCTCACTCAGTCGAAGTTTTTCCCATGCAGCGCCCCTTGTGAAGTCGATATAAATTGCGGCCACAGGTAAGCCTGCCAGGTGTGGTATATCGCTCCCTGTTCTCTGGCGGCGTGTCAGCGATACCAATTCGTCCTGTTATGAGTGTTGCATGATAGTGCAAAGGTATTGCGTAGCCCAGCCCCTTTGTGTGCAAACCCCTCTCGTTTCCTTACGCGAAGCATGTTCGTTTAAGAAGACGAGACTGCATCTGACGTTGCAGAACTCCTGCGCCACCGATGTGGTGCAGCGGTAGGGGAGACCAATTTTTCACTCGTCTTGCGTGTATTGGAATATATGATCTGACGCACACTGATATAGGTTGAAAATGTGATCGCATGTCCATTGTGCAAACATTGAAGTGTGCATGCTATAGACTGTAACGACGTTGAACCCATAATAAATTGGTTTAATTTTTCGTGTGAATTTCAAGATCGGTGTGAAATGTGGGCGATGAGTGCTTGAACTTACCCGCAGAAAAGTTGATTTCGAAGACACCAAGCTCCGTATTGATGTGACAAAAACGGTTATGAATTTTGCTTATCATACGACTGGTCATACGACTGGTCATTTGCTTACCATATGACTTGTGTAGTCGTCGGAAGCAAAGCTTCTTCGAGGAACTTAAGCCATAAAACCAAACGCCCCCCCCCCCCCCCCCCCCTATGGCTGGCCACGGACCGCTTGTAGAGAGGTGAATGTGCTGGCGCTGGACAATGCCAAACCAGCTGGACATTAAAACACTCGCGAGTCCTGAATGTTATCGCACTCAAGTACAGGATGGGGCTAGTGACCATTTCCCCGCCCGGGGATGACGAAAGGACGTCCACAGCGCAATGGCGGCACTAAGGGGCTTCGCCTGTGCGTCTGTGTGCACTGTTTTGAGTAAGCGTGCCCTCTCCCAACGCCAAATCCTCCCAACGAGAGGTTACCTCCCCCACCCGTAAGCCTAAGCGAATACAGAATATGAAAAATATAAATTCAATTTGATAGGAATCTTAAAGGCCGCTGAGAAATATCTTCCGCATTAAGCTCAGTTTACACGGGCGACTTTTGCGGCGATTTTGCCACCTCGGCGGCAGTCGTGCTCGTCGGCACCGCAGCGGCCGTCGCCTGCCACCGGCGGGTGACTTATGCGCTAGCCAGGATGACGTAGGCAGGCATTTGATCAGAGAAGACGCTGGTGTCGGCCTTGTCGAAGCGACCGACCGAAAGTTCGATTGATCGAACAAAATGTCATAGCGGCAGCGTGCCGCTGGCGTAAATCGTGTGTAATTGCGCGGGTGTTTGAAATGAAACGAGTCAAGATAAAACCCTGCTTCGATGTCTGTGCTATTAGATGAGCCATACGTTCTGGGGAGTGGCGTCCGTGATTTAGGACCGTAATTCCTCAATAAATGCATCCCAAGATGTGAAAATAAGCTAGATAGTTGTGCATTGGACTGCAGCATTGTGGCTTGTGCTGCGGACGTGCTCACTGCTTTACACCTGTTATTGTCCGATACCACCATCAGCATGCTTTGCTGGAATGTAACTTTCCAAAATAGTTGGCTTTCAGTCTGTGGTGAGCTCTCAGTGATTTCCAAATCACTGACATGCTGACTTCATGTGGCGCTTGTGCTGTTTGTTTTTCGTCATTAGCTCGGTATTACTTCATATGGTTGGTCGTCATACTTGAGATCAGCCTTCGTACCATAGGGATCATTGTTTTTGCTTCACCAGGGATTCGGTGAAGATTCTTGCTTTTTCGTTTGTTTTGGTTTGTCTGCTCCTTAACACGTGACTGGCATCCCATGCTGGCTACCATTACGTTGCTCGCGGAATTTCACTGTTTCAAATAATATTTTGCTTGCTTCGTTTGTTTCTGTGCTTTCTTCAATTCTCTGCCTTTAATTACAATTTTCGGTGGCATCCTTCCTGCTGACCTTCCGCGTAACTAGGAGTAATGGCTAGCCATTTATCCGCTATATCATCATGATCACTCGACCGATTTCTCACCGACACAACACGGCAACCATGAGATACCCAAAGCCCAACTTGCATACAGGCAACAAGCGCCGTGACTGACTTAATAAGTTAGATGCAGGTCCTATATGTTTTGAAGTTACAAACTCCCACATGACGTGGTGTAAAAAATAATGTTTTTAATGCGTTTGCAAATAGTAGTCAGGAAGAAAGTAGCGCCAACCCATCAGAATAACCGCATTTATTCTCATACTGATTTTGTCGGGCTGGTTACCTGCGTGCATGACAATGATAAGTGACAGCTGACCCTCTTTTCGCCTATCGTATTGATCCCGTCACTGGGGATTTGCAACGTGACCAGCTGCTCAGACTATATGCCATCGCCTGCGTATCGTCCTAGCACAAAGGACGGCGACTGTGTCCCACAGTAGTCTAGACATAGTGACTGGGTTCACTAATAATCGACCTTACCGATGAAAAGGTACTTAAGCGTGATGCGTCTATCATTAAAAATCAGATTTGTTTGGATTAATTATACATGCCATTGTTAATGGCGGCTTTAGCTCGCTGACCGACTGTATTGATTCGCAGGTTGCTATCATCGACGCAATTCCTTGTCATAAACCTGCTGGCAAACGTGACGCTGCTAGCAGCTTTAGGCCCATATCAGCTGCACGGCGTTGTCATGTGAAAAGGTTTTCTGTCGACAGTTGTCGGCTCATCTCGACTTGACGTCTACGGTCTCCCACCCGTCTATGCGTATAGGCCGTGTCACTCAAAGGAGGGCGCTATGGAGTGAATGACTCGCCGGATCGGTTCCGAACATATCGCCGTTACTTCCATAGACCTTAGCCGAGCTTTCGGCAGCATTGACCACGGCGTCCTCCTGACCAAGCTGCAGTGGCACGGCATCGATCCACGATGGTTTCAAAGTTTCCTCGATGGATGGCGGCGGGTGGTAAGAGGTGGTTCATGATCTCTTCCTTTGTCCCACGGTATTCATCAGGAGTCCCTGGTGAGCCCAAACCTCGTCAGAATCTTCGCGAACGATCTTCCATCTTACCTACCTCACGGGCGTCTGGTCTCCTAAGCCGATGATGCTCATCGCCCGCTGCCCATGACACCACCCACTGTGACCACTTGCCCACCCTAAAATCCCGGTAGAGGGAAACCATTCTTGCCCTCCAATTATACTTAATTGCCAATGCCCTAAAGAAAAACTCCATAAAACCACCCCCTTTTAGTCGGTACGCCCCAGGCCATCAAAAAGTATCATCCTTCCATCTGAACATCTCCATCTTAATGTTAACCCCTACGGCCGTCCCTGAAGATGCTGGGAGTGACCATCGGCAGTAGCCTCTCCTGGGAGGAGCACAAATCCGAATAAATATAAAAATGCAGCTCTATCCTGTTTTCGTGGCGTGGCGTATCTATCTGCCGCAGGCCACGTGCTACTTTTTCCAGTAAGCTTTTTCCAATGTTTTTGTTTGCTACGTTTGACCCGCGCGCTTGTCCCGGACATGCGCGCCGGGACGATCAATAGGAGGCGACCCTGAACAAACGCCGACCCCATCGGAAACAGAGCCCAGTGAGAGTCGACTGTCGGAGGAACGTCGAGACAGACACGGTGATGGGAGACGGCATCGGCATGGCGCGCCGAGGGCTGTGCGCTCGGCGCCTATGCCTCCACAAAATGTGAGCCCGGCGGAGGGATCGCCGACCTGTCGGCGAGTCCCTGAGATCCCCGACCTCTTTCTTTGTTTGGTAACCTTGCGCTTTATTTACACATCCTAAAGAAAAGTGAGTTCTATAGGAGCATTAAGCTTACGTACTCGCACATCATTTTGATCCGTTGTATGTTGTACACTCATTTCGTGCACGCATTGGATCACAGTAGTCAGCATGTCTTATATATAAATGTGTCGTTAATGTGTGTTGTTAAATGGCGTGCTGACCCCTGCCTGGCATTGCTCCATGTGTTTCAAGGAACAGTCTGCAGGAAAACAGCAGATCAATGAATAATGTGCAGCCTGAACTGTGTGCCATGAGACATGACGCGTCGTAGTCAGGACCATGTTTTGTCTCTTTTTGCTTAGTCCATATACTGCGCACATCTTGGGGCGAGTGTGAATGTCCGCGAGCCCAATCGAATTTTACCATGACGGACTAAATGCGTCACAGATGCTTGACTCAATGACTCCTCGCGGATAGCGATGGAGGTAGGCCCACGCATCACGTGGGCAAGAGCTTCTCGCGGGCAGCGGTGGAGCATTGTGAGCCGATGAGAAATTCCGGAGGGCCAGCGGGGGATGTTGGCATAGCTCAGCGGCTATAGAGAGTGGGGGCTACGTGGTGATGCCGAGAGGAGTCTTGCACCGGGTGGCTATTATTTACTGGGGAGGCACTCCGAGGCATGCGTGGTGTATGGCTGTACTGCTCCGCTCATGGTTAAAGTGGTCTGGTCAATGCACATAACCTGTAGTCTTTGTGTAGCAACCACACTATGGGCCTCCTTTAATATGATCGGTGATAACTATGCATGAGACGATGTGAAGTTATCAATGCTGGTTGCGGAATCCCGGTAAAGCAAGCTTATTCCCCATGTTAGGACGAAAACATCTGTTTCGTAAAAGCCCATATATTACCGGTGAGCCAGTGTTCACCATTATTTGCAGTCGCTCCCAGCTAGCCGGCTTATGATAGGGAATTGCTTCCATGATAATTACCTGCAAATAAATAAAGTGGGCTAAGTAGCCAACAGCCGCCATTGAAAATGGTATCTATAATAAATCCAAGTGAATATGATTGTAACCACTGGTAGACGTATAATTCCCAAGCAGCTGTTATTTTGTAAAGTTGCTTATTGGTGAGTACAGTCACGACCCCTAGACTGTTTTGGGTCCCCAGTGGGTTGTCGATCATTGCCAGACACATAGCTAGCTTTAACAACTAAATGAGTACATTTTTTATCGTGGTTTTCCAGCGAAGTGGCCCTGCTACCTCGCTGATTAGTATTTGTAAATGCATTTAAAACATTGTGCGCTATCCGACCTTATGTGCGAGTGCGTAACTTCAAAAAAACATGCAGGAACTTCGAGCCAGTCACTGCAATTGTTTTTAGGCGAGCCAGGCTTTGGGAATCTCTTGATTACCGTTTTGCATCGGTGAGGAGTCCGTCGGGTGATCATGATGATATTGCTGGGAGATGAGGAACCAGTACTTCAAGTTACGCGGACGACCGGCAGGGGGAATGTCGCCAAAAGCTGGGTTTAAGGCGAGAGAGTTAAACCAGCCCAACCAAACACAGCAAACGACATTATGCGAAGCAGAGTGCAAATCCGCGCATAACATAATGGTCACCGGGGTAGGAGATGTTGATATAGAGTAAAAGGAGAAACATCAATAATCTTATCAAACTGAACT